AGATGCCTGGGACCCGTTCCACACATGCTAAATCACGATGGGTCATTTAGGGGTGCCTGGGTGGCTCAGATGGTTAAGCATCTGCCTTTGGCTGAGGTCACGATTCCAGGATCCTGGGATCGAGCCCCACATCTGGCTCCTTGCTCAGCAGAGAGCCTGCTTCTCCCTCTCCCCCTACTGCTCCCCCTGCTTGTGCTCTCTCATTCTCTCTCTCTCAATAAATAAATAAAAATCTTAAAAAAAAAAAATTTTATTTATTTATTTGAGAACGAGTGAGCGAGTGAGTAGGGGGACAGAGGGACAGGCAGACTACAGTGAGCATGGAGCCCGATGCAGGGCCTGACCCAGGACCCTGAGATCGTGACCTAAACCGAAATCAAGAGTCCGACGCTTAACCGACTGAGCCACCCGGGCTCCCCTCCAGGAGTGGATCTTTATGTGTCAAATGCACAGCATTCAACCCTGGGATCGAACTAATTTGAGAAGGAATCACCAATTTGGCCTAAAACAGCCCCCGGGGAATGCTGGGAATGGAGGTGTTCCTCTGCCCGGGTTCCAGGACGGCCAGAAGGGGAGAGCACCTGTGATCCTTGTTCAAAGAAGAGACAGGACAGTAACTAAGGGTCACGACAGTTGTTTTACGATGAGAGATAACCGTGGTTGAAGGGAAAGCACTAGGTATGGAGGGTGGCGGACACACCTGAGCACCAGGAAGGGCTGGGACCCAGGGAAGGAGGATGTAGAAAGCTGGGGAGTGGGAAAGGGAACGAGAGAGAGACAAAAAAACATCAAGGCCAGGCCTGAAGGGCCAGCAAAGATGGGCAGCCCGGGAGTAGCACCATCCACCCCGTTGGATGGTTTTCCTCTTTGGGATTTGTGCAGAGAGGACTGCTGCTGGGGACAGGTATCCAGCCTGGCCTGGCAGAGGAGAGGGCTAAAGAGTTTCCTGTGAGTAAATCACAGGCTGCAACCTATAAAATGGCTGATATGTGACTGCGTTTTACCTACAAGAACAACAATTTCGTACAGTTCAACCTAAGATTTGTGGACTTGACCAGCTAACTTTACAGCTAGAGAACCATAATGATATACAGGCCGTAACAACCTAACTAAAAAAGTTTTAATGGGACAGGACTGGAGAAAGGACAAACTCTGGCATGATGGGAAAATAAAAAATAACTACAATTATTTGTGAAGATGGCAGTGAATTTCCTTTAATCAAAGACAACCATGACAAATTCATTAACTATCAAAAGCTACATTTTACTAAAAACAATCTGTCTTTAAAAATGTTTAATCATACAGTATATACAATACATGCTGCTTTCGTCTTTCGATTTCACTATCCATTTGAGTCCTAAAAGAGGGAAAAATAGCTGGTTAACAGTTTATAAATGATAAAATGAATCAAAAGTTCACCTGATATACATAAATAGGATCTAATAACTAGTCCTTTCTCTCTGAATAGAGCCCCAGGCCATGCATATTATATACCTTATGTCTGTTCTGTTTCCCTCAGTTATCTTGGAACAAAAGAAGCTCAGTTAATTGAGGTGCATATTAAGAGTTTACATTAAGTATTAAAAGCTAATTTGAAACTCAAAATTATAGAAAATTTGAGCTAAAAAAAAAAACCCTTAAGGATCTAATTCAAAATCCCATTTTACAGACAGATTTGTAGACAAAATGAAGCTGAGTGAGATTAAGTGATTTGCTCAGTGATTTTAAACTAAGGGGATGGAGCAAAGAGAATACAGGTCTTCTGACTCCCACCCACAGCAAATGCCCGATCATCACGAAGATTTCCTTCTAGCATGTTCTACTTCATAAAAATAAAGAAGTGTTTCACAGCGTAACTCAGATTTCAGAAATGCCCATTTACTGACATTATTCCAGGTAATTCTGTCCTAATTCTCCTTTTCTACTTCATAGCTGTAAAATAAGCAAATCAGATCGTACGGTGATGGGAGGGTTCAATATTCTACTTAACCAAAGTAATCCGAAGAAGGGGACTTGCAGCCACTAGGCCCAAAGTTGCCTTTCTCACAGGCACACACAGTTCTAAGAATGGGGCACTAGAGGGAGGCAAATCCCAATTTCACCCGAATGAAAAAAAGGAAGATGGTCTGGAATGCTAATTAACATTTAATAACACATAGGAAGGACTACCTTTGCTGGCGTCAAGCGCTTAGCCTCTGCTGGCTCTGGCTTGAAGCAATCACAGGCTCTGAAATCTCAAAGGTCTTCACGATCTCCTGGCAGAGAACAAAGATCATTTGGGGACTGGGTTTACCGCAAACGAAGCGGGAAGCAGAACTACCCGGGGGCAACATGCAGAGCTTTACCTCCCAGTCACGGTAACTCAAAGCTATGATTCCTTGATTCCTAATTTGGGTGTTTTGGTCAATTCCCTCACTTTCTTCATTAATATTAACAGGCTCTGTTTGAAAGACAAAAGTTTTCAAAGGTTATCAAATCGCAAGAGGTACTCTGAACAGAAACTGATGAGAAGGAATGAACCTGTATCGAAGACACTTATAATATTACATACTTATTATGATTCCGTGCATCACTGATGTGTTAAGAGTGTTATTACGGTAGTAAGTAATCCATTTGCTTCCATTAAAAAAAAGTACCTCCCGTAGTAGAGTTACACGTGGCAATCATTTGAAAACTTCTGCATATCCACCTACCAACCTCAGAGCTGAGCCCTAGTGAGTCCAAGAGAAATTGACAACTATTAAAGTACCAATCAGGGCAATAAAAATACTTGACTCTCTACAGGGGACCTTAGAAAGAAAGGACTCACTGAGCTGGTGAAATTATTCAACTAAGAAAGATCCTCTCAAGGAGAGGAGAGGGAGGTGGCTTCAGGGAAAAAACAGAAGGAAGAAAAGTACAACAGCAACTATAATTACAAACATTCTCAAAACTGGAGGGACTTTCTTGTTAATCTTTTTTTTTTTTTATAAAGATTTTATTTATTTATTCATGAGAGACAGAGAGAGAGAGAGAGAGAGGCAGAGGGAGAAGCAGGCTCCCAAGGAGCAGGGAGCCCGATGCGGGACTCGATCCCAGGACCCCGAGATCATGACCTGAGCCAAAGGCAGACGCTCAACCATCTGAGCCACCCAGGCGCCCTTTCTTGTTAATCTTTAGGGCAGATGTTGAGTCAATGATACAGATGAACCCCCTCATTTTAACTGATGATCATGTTTGCAGTATTTCAGTTAGTTGAGCAAGATAGAGCACTGTAAAAGTTACCTAAAATGCAAACTCGGTTACATTCAGAAAACTGCATTTCATGAACTCGAATAACACATACATTTTCTCTAAAACTAATTTTTCTTAACATAGTATCATTTACCTATTATTGGCAGTCGGTCTTGGTCAAGCTTTATTCTTGCAAAACCATCCTAAAACACAAACATAATTTTAGATTTAGATTCAAAAGCCGATTTAAAAAATTACATTCAAAACCTATAATCATTGGATAAAAAACATTATTAATTAGAAAACTCCATATCCCATGGGGCACCTGGGTAGTGTAGTCGGTTAAGCGTTCGACTTGATTTCGGCTCAGGTCATGATCTCAGGGTCATGAGATTGAGCCCCACACTAGGCTCCATGCTCAGCAGGGAGTCTGCTGGAGATTCTCTCTCCGCCTCTCCCGGCTTTCTCTCTCAAAAAACAAACCTCCATATCCCAGACAATCAAAATGTACTGTAACAATAATGAGGAGATTATGTGGATAAGACTTTACGTTGGGGCATCCTTCAGGTTTCTCATCAGTCTCCATCCTGAGGATCTCCTAAATAAAACTGTAACTGGCTTGGCTCTTAAAACTTGGCTCTTAAATGTGATTCATGCATATTTTTGGACACTCGGCATTTTATTATGCATAACTCATCATTTACTGCTGACAAAATATGCCTTTGTTATCATTTCTGGGAAAATACTTTGGTCGAGAAAAGATTTTTCCTGAGGTTAAAATCAAATTCATCATCCATGAGCGGGAGTGCAACCTGTTATAAGACTAAAGACAGTCGAAAGCAAATTTCCATAGTGTTATTTCTGAGTAGGGGTTTTCTTTTTTTTTTTTTAACCTCTATTTTGAAATAATTTCAAATTGAAAGGGCTACAAGGCTACTATAAAGACCTCTCATATATTCTTTCCCCAGCTTTACCATCTGTTCAAGTTTTGCCACGTTATTTCCCCCTCTACATACGTATTAGGAATTCTCATGAGAAAATAAGTGATAGACAACCTGCTCCCTTTCCTTAATACTTTCAGTGTATGTTTCTTGACAAGAACAAGATCTTTCCTTACAAGACAACTATCAAATTTGGGAAATTTAACATTTATACCATACTGTTATCTAATCTATAGTTCCATATTCAAATTTTGTCAATTCGTTCTGTAAATTCCTAAAATGTAAAAGCAAGCACACAGTTTTTTTTTAAGTTTATTATGTTTAGTAATCTCTATAGCCAATGTGGGGCTCACACTCACAACTCTGAGATTAAGAGTCGCACACTCCACCGACTGAGCCAGCCAGGCGCCCACACAAATTTTCAGCTAGTTTCTTCTGCCTGTGCGCCAATGTTTTGCGACAACGGGTCTACCATACATACCAGTTAGTACAAATACCTTTGCCAGCTCCCATCCACAGCTTTTATTATTTACCCACCTTTTTTTGAGAGAGAAACAGAGCGAGCAAGAGCAGGGTCCACGCAGAGCTGGACACAGGGCTCGCCTGAGATCATGACCTGAGCCGAAATCAAGAGACGTTTAACTGACCGACCGAGCCACCCAGGCACCCCTATTATTTACCCTTTTAAGAGCTATAAAAGAAAGAAGAGAAATGATCTTAAATCTTACCCTTATAATGAAGGAAACATGAAAGATGTTTTCCACTGTTCGGGGGAAAGAATGTGGATCAACCACAAAGTCAAAGAAGGACATAGGAGTATCAGCTATAGACAAAAGAGGAAAAAAAATTCTTCAAAACAGGAAAGATGATTTTTGCCAATCAGTAAGACCAATATTCTGTGTTAGCAGAGGAAGGAAATGGGCACTCAAACTTTCCCGGGAGTGAAAACTGATTTAGCCCTTCCGGGGGGCAATGTAACATACCTATTAAAAATATGTATGTCCACTGATCTGGCAACCCGCCTCTCAAAATCTGTCCTACAGAAATATCAGCGTGTGTGCACAAAGTTGTGTACCCAGATTTCCCACTGCAGTGGGTTTCACAAGAATAAAATGCTACAAAGAACTTAGTCGTCCACCCACGCAGGACACAGCCATATGATGGGAATCACTGAAGAGAATAAGGGGGATCTGGATGTACGGATATGGAAGAATGTCCACATGGAAAACTCATGGTGCAGAAGAATGTGTGTATTATGATTAGCTTTGAAAAAAGCAAAAAACCAACAAAAATCCCCAACTTACTTATGTGCAAAGTCACGTGACGGACATAAACGTAAGATCTGAAAGTATACAAGCACATCATACAGGTGGCTGCCTCTGGGGAGCGAGGGAACAGGTACTCAGCTCTACCCCTTCTATGGCACCTTTTATTTTGTAACAGAGAAAATACCCCATCTTTTAAAAGCAAGAATGGAAAGTTACTTTGCCAATACTCTCACATGGGATTGCTAAAGGAGAAGCTGAATTAAACACACATGCCAAAAAAAAATCAAAATGATTCAAACATTACATAAAACTGAAAATGCTTTTTAAAAAAAATAACTTCTGACTGCGAGTGATGTGTGTCTAACTGATAAATACAAATTGCTCTACTTTGAACTTGGTATCATACTTACGATCTTCTCGAAAATACGTTTGCAACAATCCCAAAATTCTTTCCACTTCTTTTTCTGTTGCTTCTTGATGAGATTCTTCCATTTCATTTAACTGAAAATATAAAGTCATTACCAAGCAGACTGACCTACTTGCCTGCTCATTCACGTTTTCTGCTCTCTGACACATCTAAACTCCTCTAGCTGTCTTTTACTGGGGGACTGCTAGCAGTTTTTATCCTCATCTTAAAATTTAAAGTTAAAAAAAAGATTGTCTAGTTTCAGTAACATTTTTTATATTAACTTTTTAATGGAGGAGTAACATTACCAAATCAACCATTTTCAGGTTGAACATAAATAGCAAAATACAAATAGCGCAGTTTAGAATAGTGATTCTCAACCGAAAGTGATTTTGCCTCCTGGGACATCTGCCACTATCTGGAGATGTTTTTCGTTGTCACAACTGGGAGGGGAGGCTACTGGCCCCTAATGGGGAGAAGCCAAGGATGCTACAGAGCATCCTACAACACACAGGACAGCCTCTCACAACAGAGAAGGATCCAGCTCCCAATGTTGATGGTGCCGAGGCTAAAAACCCCTGGTTTGGGAGAACTGATCCAAACTACAGACATGAATTAAAACTAAGACAAGGGGTTAATCCAATCAAATGTTTAAAAGCTGCAATTATTTAAGTAATTATTTAATGAACCAAACCTGACTCTAGACCCTAAAGCTTGGAAAGATGGCCAGATTGCCCGTATATTGTATGAATAGCTGCTGTAACCTGAGGTGTTTTTAAAAAACAAACCTGGTCAGGCATTGTCTTCTTCTCTTCTGTCGTGGGACCTTTTCTTGGACGATCACTTCGTGGCTTTGGCACAGGGAACTCTCCTTGTATTGAACCCAACCTAATGAAAAATATGCTTTCATGTCTTTTTTTATTTGTTTTTTAAACAAACTGGTTGCACTAACTGGAAGCAGTTCCCACGGAAATGGTCGAATTCAGACCAGGCTCCAGTGATATACGAACTGACATTGGACCAAAACTCTTGTCAGGTTTGTGACATCCTCTCTGCTCCCTTTGTGTGTCTCAAAGAACTCCCAGGAGCTTTACTCAGCCACAGATACCCCCTCAAACGCCTTCCTATTTTGCTCTCAACAGTAAACCGGTAAATATGCCTGTGGTCTTCCCAGCTAGCCTACTGTCTCTTTGGCAAAGCCAACTTCAGATCAGTGGGAAGGCTGAAGGTGTGGGAAAGGGGAACAAAGAGCTCCACGGGGGTTAAAAGCCTTTGGACTAGGGGTGCTAAGGCCGAGGCTCCCAGCCTACGACAACAGAACACACCCCACACCTGTCTCAGAAGGACAGGTCAAACAGAAGCCATGGAATTCTTTCCCCCTTTGTACTCTCTACGCCCCTTAAAAAAAGCCCTACTGCAGACTTAAGCTACAGTAATAGATGTACCATGCAGAGGCCAAGGCCCCGAGAACATGGACCCATATGGTCCCTAAGCTCGAGGAGCTCAAAGCATGCAGTGTAGATGGACGGATCCAAATCCACACACACACACACACACACACACACACACCCATTTCAACATAATACGGTAGATCCCACAGTGCTGTGCTAGAGTAATCCTCAAGTGCTCTGAGAGCACGGGGGCAGAGATCTACCCAGACATGGGAGTGATCGGGCCAGGATCTCTGATCTTACAATGATACCTCTGTCTGGAGAAGTTACTGGAAGCTTCCAAGTTAGGGCCTGGGAGAGGAGCAAACCTTCCCAGATGGAAAAGACGGGGAAGAGACTGGAGGCCAAAGTAACAGCAAGTGCAAGGGCACAAAGCTGTAAGCAGTTCACTGTGGACGCAGGCTGTGCTGGATGAGGAGAGAAAGTTTAAGACACAGCACCCCAGCTGCATTTAGATCCTGGGATTTATGACAGAGCCTTGAGCTCAAAAGCAAAGAACAGAGATTTGGACTTCATCCTGTAACAAAGAAGCCTGATCTTTACGCTGACATGTACGCAGTGGTTCTGGGCAGATGCGTGGCCCCACACCTGTGCATCTCCAAAGCCTTCTCGCTGAGGTACCGCCGCCCTCCAGAGCTTTGGGAGGGTGAACTGGAGTAGACAGATGCCCAGGAGCTGGAGCACGTAAGGGAGAAACAACTGGGTGGCTGCCCCAGAGAATGTATCTGCTGGGGGTCACAACCAATGTCTCTGAAGGTGGTCTTACAAAAGAACCAGTAAGGGCTATCCTTCGTTCCTCCAAAAGGGCTGGGCTAGGAAATTAGGACGGAAGCTAAACTGAGTATGAAGATAAACTTTTCAAAAGTAGAGTGGTTTCCAAAAAAATGGGGTGGGCAGTTTATGTGAGTGACTCAAGCAGGCTTCCAGTACAAGTCAGTGACCATCCAACAGGAAATTACAATGAATGGCACTTGACATACGTTAGTAAAATCTTAAAAGACCCTCCATAAGAGGTATCATCCTCCTACAGGATAAGGGTTAAAGACGACAAAACAAAGCCAGACATTATGCCCCAGACCCAGAGCCTCACACACTAGAAAAGAAGGGAGCCAGCAGGGCCCTGTGGTAAGCGGTTCTGGCCCACAGCCTTTCCTGCTTAAATTAAGCAGGATGAGGTTCCATCCACATCGAGATTTTATGGGCTTTTCGGTCAAAGTTTAGAAAAATCTCCACACAATGGCATCCTGATTGTCACCGCCACCCTACCAGATAATTCTTGTTCCTACTATAACAAAACAACTTAAGGTTTACAAATGGCTGGTCTGACCGATTTTTAAAATAATCTTACAGAAAGTGGAATGTATGGGTTTTATTAAAGGTGTTTTCTGCTGTTTTGCCTGATATTTTCCAGGAGTCATAGACTATGAATTCAAAATCAGAACTATCTTCATCACGGATGAGTTCTTCAGCTTCTAGCGGATTTACACCCATATGTGTCAGCTACAAAAATGAAGGGAAACAAAAAACCCCAGTTAAGCCACAGGCAATCATTCACCACATCCAATAATCTCTATCACTAAACTTGAAGAGGCCAGAGGCAAAAAAGCCTGTTCAGTGCCCTAACACGTTGGCTACATTTCATATTATACAAATAATCTTATATAAACCCCACCTTTCAAAGGTAGAAATACTAGAAGGAATGAATCCTTAGTCCATCAAAGTATTAGGAAAGCTGTACCAACATACAAATCTGAAATCACATCCCAAATCAAAGGCTCCAGGACAGAACAGGCAAGTTTAGCTGGCTTTTGGATTTTCGTTTTTAGCCAACCTCCTAGAGACCTCTCTCCAGCTTGTGTCTCAGTACATCCAAAGAGCAGTGGCCTAGAGTCAGAGGATTGCTCATCTTACCACTGCCTTCCTGGGAAGAGTTGCTAGAAGTCTAATAATTCTCTTATCCCACACTATCTCACAGAAAATCAAAGCACCCTGATTACATTATGAAATTATAAAATGCCTACAAGTTATCAAATTAAAACAGTAATATCAAACATAAACAATAATCAAAAAGCCCTTGGGAAGCTTGCCCCTATTAATAAAAGCAATCAAACTCTGAAGAGAGGCTGCAAGAGCCCGATCAGAGACATAAGGTCAGCAAGCCTCCCCCCCCGCTACTGCACGCATAAGGAGGACGCGTCCGTTTCTGTCTGGTCAAATCTACCCATCTTTGCCTTATAGTACCTATACTTGATGAACTCGGAAGGGGCTTCCCCACCCAGCGATTTCAAAGCTGTAATTTAGGGTTTTACACTGAATGCCTTAAGACTTCCAGAATTTGCTCCGATTTGTTAAAGTACACATCTCACCTGGATAAATACCAGTAATTTAAAAAAAGATAACCCAGAATATGGTCACTTTATTTATTCAGCTATACATGAGTGTGCATTTTCCAAATGCATTATACCTCACAATAAAAAAGTTAAAAGAGAGAAAATTTTAAGGTTTTAAATTTAAGTTAAATTTCAATTTTAAACCATTTAAGGTTTTAAAAACAACAGGAAATTCATCTGCCTCCTGCCTTTACAAAAGAATTAATTTATCTGGGCCGGTCTCCTGGTACTAAATCATTTTAATAACCATTTAACAAACATTCAGGCAGAAATTCAAAGTCCTAGCACAAATGCTAGGACAGAGGTTAGCTCAGAGTGGAACCAAAAACAGAAAAAAACAAAAAACAATCACAACATAGTAAAATGCAAGGTCAGCCTCATTGTGCTTTTTTAAAGAAAAGTTTAAAAATTTTAGGTAACAACCATTCAAAGAAAGGTGAATAAAACAACAAAAAGACCCACAAAAAAGCAAAACCCCAAGCATATTCATATGGTTCCAAGATATTGTTATATTGTTAAGGACTGATGAAAACATGCCCCCCCACCAGGCCTAACTCCTCTCCAGCTGAGCCCTGCCACCTGCAGGGTGGGTCCTGCCCAGCCCAGGACAAAAGCCCGGGGTCACTGAGAATGAAAAAATGGCCATTTGTAAATAAACGTAGCACCCAGAGTCTTAGAATGCTAAGAGATTTTTAAACCTCTAAGCTGCCACCCTAAATTCCTCCACAGGGCTCCCCTGTCATTGTTTAACTTGGTGAGATCTCTTCGGAGGAATCTGAGACATGCCCCCCCTCCCCGGCCCCCCAAAAAAGGAAAAAGGAAGTGAAATCCCTTTGCATACAGATCTAAGCAAAGTAGATAGTTATACAATATGTGACATGGGAAACATTTTTTATTAAGATTCTGTAGCTTTGAACTTACTAGAGTTTCAACATATCTTAACATATCAAATGAGTTAAGATCAGAATGCAGCTGCTTTGCTTTCTCTTTGCCCAAATCTGAAGCCAGAACAAGAAACTGGGCGTCCAGGACTGCTTCTCTTGCTCGGGACACTATTCAGAAAAGAAGGAAAATACACATTACTAAAAACCCATTATTCACAGGGATTTTCCTGAAATTTCCACCTACTTACTTGACATTTCCCACTGGACCAAAAAAAAAAAAAAAAAAAAAATCCTCAAACATACCCATGTCCCTCTAAAACCTGGCTCCTCTACCCAACCCACCAAAATCTGGAGTCAGAGCTGACCAGTCCTCCTAAAAGCCACTCTCCCTCCGGGGTCCTGCTCCTGTGAACTGAGCCACCAGCTCTTCATAGCTCTGGTTCAACAAAGCCTCTCTCCTCTCCCACACCGGCTTTCTCCTCTGACCCCAGGAGCCCATCCTTGCCACGATTCCCACCTGTGCGGAGGTAAGTCAAAAGGCAGGCCCACTCCGTGTAAGGCAGGGTGGCTTGCTGAGCATCAAGAGTAGGAGTGGGGGCTGGGCAGGCAGCCTAGGACTCCCGCCCCCCCCACCCCACCCCCCCAGAGTCAGCACAGGCCACCACATCAACAGCCTACCGCAGGGCAGCGACTCTGAGGATGGGTGACCCAGAAACGTTTGACAGAGGACCCAGGACTTAAGCTATAGAGAGAAAAAGATTTCAACAGGAGACAAGAAGCGAATGGGGCAGGGAAACTGAGGAGGAAGCGGGGGAGGGGAGGGACAGGCCCTTTGGAGTTAAGAGCAGGCCTGAGGGGCCCCGGGGAAGGGGGAAAAGTGCTCTGGGAATACCTGGAAAGGCAGACTGGAAAGGGAGCCAAGAAGAGGGGAACAGGGCAACGCTCAAATACAGAAACACCTGGGCCTGGCTCCCTCCTGAGGCCTTTTCACTTGGATCCCCCACTTCCTGAACCCGCCGCAGGCTGCTGAACTTGCGGACTGCGGGTTCTGTTTGTATACATCATTTTTCTCCCATTTTATTTCGGAAGCGAGGCTGCGGAAGTGACCACGGGTGAGAGAGGGCAGCAGGGGCCGGGGCTGGAGGCTCATTCCTGGGCTGCCCCAGGGCCTTGCCCACCGGCCTCCCAGCGCGGCTAGAGAGGAAAGTGCAGACTTCTCGGTCACAGATGGCTTTGAGGCCTCCACCAAGTTAAAACCATGAACGCCAAGGATCTAGAATTCTGTGTTTGCTGAGCGACTCCCGGAGCCCAGCTGAGTGAGAGAACTTCGCCTTAGCGAGGTGACCCGGTCAGCAGGGCGGAATCAGCCGAGGGGGAGGCCATGTGTGGCTCAGGAACTAGTAAGATGCACAGTAAAACCGCAAGGGAGTTGAGGGGGTCCAGAGGAACCTTGAGGAGACCGACTGGGAGTCCAGGAGTGAAGAGAAGACAGAGCTAAGGACGGTGGAGGAGGGATTTAACCAGGTGGTGGGGAAACGCCCAGTTCTGGAAGGATTCAAATGAGATTTACCAAATGTGGGAGACCCCACCTGGGGAACAGCGAGGAGGCTGTGACCAGAGCTAGAAGGTCACTCACTTGAGAACAGGCAGACACAAAAACGTTAACGGCGGGCAACAGGTAAGCCATTAGTCATAACTAGCACATGGCTAGAGGTAAAGCTTCTGGTCCTCAAAGACCTCGGAGAACCGTGTTCTGTTCAACAAATGCATCCTGGGGACCCAGCAGCCAATACCATAGACAGAGAAAAGGTAACACATGCAAACTCCTCAACCCTGAACAAGCAACGGACCACCTGGTGGGGGGGGGGCTTGTTGAAACAGGCTGCTGGCTGCACCCCCAGAATCTCTCATAAAGCCTTCAGGGCGCCTGAGGGGAGTTAAAGCAGAATTACCACTACAACGAAAAAACTTCCCACACTAGTAAAGCACTATTACAATATGTGGGAATTGTGTGATGTCAATAATTTGGCTCTTATATAAAACTAGTTAAAATTACTCTAAAACTTATAATAAAAAGCACTCATATATAAAATAACGAATTACCTCCATTAAACAGAGTGTTGGCCTCTTCAAGGACTTCTGTTAATTTGTCGCTGGCATTCAGTATATCCTCCCGGTTTTCTATGTAAAAAAATACAAGGTTTGGGTAATGTGCGCATCAGGCACTCGCAGTTCGTGACGAAGCGATCACCTGCAGGACAGCCAAGCCCGGCCCCCTGCTCCCCCGGGTGTGTGTGGGGGGGGCGGATTACTTCACACATCTCCATCTTTTTAACCCAAGTGGCTCGGAAAGAGAGAGGTAACTGTACCTTTAAGCACCATGAACTTTAAAAGGGGCCCGGCTGCCTTTACCCTTCACCCAAGGGGCTCCACAGCTCCTGCAGCCCGAGGAGCGCTCCGAAGGGCGGTTCCCAAACTTTGCAAGCCACAGAGGCCCCTAGAGGGCCACCCGACAGATGGGCGGGCCTCCCCGAGTTTCAGAGTGGGTAGGTCCGGGGTGCGGCCCGAGGACTGGCATTTCTGACAGCTCCCTGGTGGCGCTGCCCCCCCCC